CATCGCCTCTCACCACTTTGTGCTTGAGAACTCCGGCTACCGTGCATATATATATATATATGTGCAATGTAGCTTCTTGCTACTACTAGTAATGCCCTTAGCTACTAGTAGCTTCTTGTTACTAGTAGCAATGCACTTGTGACTAGTAGCGATGCACTTGCTCCTAGTAGCTTGAGTTATATGCAAGTGTCTCGATTTTCTCGATTTGAATACACATGGGTCCATCCGCGTATGTGTGTGTGATTACTGTAGAACTTTTGCTGTTTCATTGATCAATCATTGATTAATCCCCGTCCCAACTTCGTCGCTTTTCCGGTCGAGTTGCAACAGTGACGTTGGTTCGACTCCGTACCTCCTTGGTGCCGTTTCGACACATCAACGTGAGGCGCTGAATGCGCCCTGCCTTGCGATCTGTCCAGTAGACCTTCGAAACACAGCGACTTCCCCGGAAAGAAAGGCGGCAAACACGGTCTTTGTTTCGTTTTGGCCAGCGGGCTTGTGTACTTATATAAGTGCACTTAAGTGCTGCAAAGCAGAAATCAGTTCCAACACACACAGATTTATGAAGAACCCCTGAAGATATTGAAGATGTCGCTTCTGCTTTTGGTAGATTCTGCAAGAAATTAACGTTTTGGAGAAACATGCTCCACACCCAGCCTGGCTAGCATCAGCGTCTACCGCCACTCCATATGGCATGCTCATGCTAGGCTCTCTCACCAAGACCTTGGGGCGCTCGCATGGAAAGCTGTCAAAATGAGTGCTTGTTTCTAGTTGGAACGCCAGTGGGACATAGTGAGACTCTTTTCCAAAATTGTTTTGCCACTAAGCTCCAAGTCTTCAAAGCTTCCTTAACACAGCAAAAGGACTTCAGCACCGCTGCCATCTAAGTTTGTTCGGATAATGCGACCTGAATAATCCGTGCTTCTTCCACTTAATTCCCCAGTCTTCTCGAAATCTGCCATGTAGAGCTTCTTGGCATCAGTATCCACGGCCATGCCATAAGTATTCATGATCGCCCAGCTCATGTTCAAGGACTGGACATTGTTGCCTCCTAGTGAGGCGCGTTGCGTCCGTCCTAGACCAACATCTGACCAGTAGATTTCTCGCGCTTCCGCGTCAAGGGCCACATCCACCGGTGAAGCCAAGCCAGAGACGATCGCTTCTTCTTCCCCAGACACCACATGATGACGCAAGATTGTGCCGTGCATCCAATCTGCCCAGTACACATAGTCGTCCAAAACGGCCACGCCGCTGGCGAACTCGGCATTGGCGATGACTTCTTCATTGGATCCATTTAGATCAGCCCTGCGAAGGCCGCAACAAAGAGCCGTCCAGTAGATCTTTTGGTTCGTTGGATCGATGGCCACATCTCGTGGTGCTTCTTGGACCTGATCCTTTACAATGACGTCCTTCAGGTCCTGCCCATCTAGTGTGGCACTCCTGATCTTTTTGGCGCCATCTTCAGCCCAGTAGAGTCTTTGTTCCCTCAAATCTAAAGCTAGGCCTCGTGGCATCTTCAAATCAGTCAGGAGATCTAGTACTGCTTCGCATCTCAGCAGCAAAAGTGCCATCAGCCGCATGATGCGGCTAATCTAAGGCTTCGCACAGGGGCGCGGATCGCGCCCCCGCGTGAAAGCCGTGAAACAGCTACTTAAATTCCGCAGCTATCTCGCTAAAACATAAACTCCTGAAACTTGAGAAAGCTACATAATGAATCTATATATAGTCCGATGGTCCGATGGTCACTCTTGTAACCAGCACATGCCACGCGGCTGCTCTAAAACGCTGAGAAAGGTCTTGCTAACAGCACCATCTGCCAACATCAACAGAAAGCTTTCAATCCTCACTTCAGGTCTGAAACGTGCAAACCTGGACACCAACATCGTGTAGACAGGCTGAAATCTTTTACCGTACATCCATACATATATATATATAATATCCAAAACAACAAAATCTGTTTACAATCTTTTACGACACCTCGGCCAAACAATGGCCAAGAATGAACTTGCAACTTCCAGTCAGGAGTCATAGGTGACAAGTGTGGCAAACAAATAAACAATTGGGTTGGTGTGTATCGTGAGCCTCCAGGTTATATATATATATCAATGTTCAATTGCCCTTCGTTAAAGGCCGACACTCATGGGTGCCTTGCTCCGACAGGACGCGGCTTGCATCTTTGCCGAATTCGAACCTGATCACATCATATCGCATCCACACAAAGACAAAACAAGCAAGGCCAATCTCCATGGATGCTTTCCAATTTAGTCCCTTCATCTACATGCAAAATCACAACGAGATCGGTTAGAAGGGTCGATGAAAGACCCGAAGGCATCACTGAGGCAAAAGGCTTCTGATGGTCCGGATGGTGCACACATCGAATGCTCAAATTGTTCCGAAGCCGTTGGAAGAGCTGAACGCCGCTGGTCTTGCCATCATCCTCAGTTCAGGTTCTGCTTGTTCATTGAACTCTCTGGACTGGAGTCTACTAGTAGTACCTGCAATCCCGTCTTCCTTCCAAAAAAGCGCATCAAGCAGAAGAGTGAATCATTGACCCTTCAGGACCCTTCGACAAAACAAGCCTTGGTGCCAACCCTCCAAATGAATTTTGGAACCACTAAGGCCAGGTCGGCAGACTCGACCTTGCACGCGAAATCGGAAAAAAAGAATAAACGGCTCCAAACCGAGGCCAAACGGAGAGCCCACTGAGTGGAGGTGAGGAAAAAACAAGCAACTGCCTACTTGTGTTTGTTAAACTACCTGAAACTTGGCAAAACAATGTCTGGAATGAAATATTACATTAAATCATATACATTACAGTACATTACAATACAATGTTTAATATACACATGTATTCATCATATCTAAATAACACGTCCAATGGTCCAATGGTTTTCGAACGTCCTCTCGACATGCGAAGCAGCACAAGAACTGAATCGGTCAGACCGACTCAGTGTCTGACGTCGGTCTTCTTGAGGAGCTGATCACAGCCTCCATGGGGACATCTAATTTGGGGCACCTGAGGCGGTGGACGTCAAAGGGGAATCGGACTACTGAATAACAGAATAATAACCCAAAAGAAACCTATTCCGTGCCTGTAGTTTCAAGGAAACTGTGTCAGATTGCATGCAAAAAAAACTATAGAAGTATCTATATAAGTATGTAGTGAAGGAATGCGCAGTTATTTGTGTAGGAGTTCATGATCGGCAGGTATGATGCGGGTGTGTACGTGAATCTGAACAATGAAAATACATGCATGATAGAGGCTTTGTAGTAAAGCAATGTAATAGGTCTTGGAATGTGAGGCTCTGACAGTGACAGGAGGGCCAGAATTCTGATTCTGATTCTTCTGCAAGTCTACCTGGCAGAGAGGAGAAATGAAAGAACATTGCCATCATGGCCCGAACAACAGGGTTGCATTCCATATGACCAACAACTGATTGCCAAAGTGCCCAAGTCCGGTGAATGTTCTTGCACCCCTCAAAAAGATTCCCGCGACAAATATTCATGAAGTAAAAATGTACTCAAAAGTGTAGCCGCTATAGCCAAGCAAGTTGAAAAAGGAGAACATTCTCAGCATCGAATTGGCGGTCCATCATCGAATGCATCACATCTGTTCTCCCTCGAAAACAGTTCTGTCCTGTCCAACCGAAGATGAATTTAAGTCAGTCTCCCAGCCGCAAATCTTTTCGGGCCTGTCTTTGAACCCATTGTCTAAAGCAGCATGAGCAAAAGATATGCGAGCATCGGGTGATCACTGGCCTCAGTGTCATCAAACTACAAGTCAATCCTCACTCGAAATCAAGAAAAAACTTCTGACGAAAACTCCTTCAATTGGCCAATCATCCACACTTCTGGCAGTGGCAGTGCCTGATTTTAGGCGCCGTGTTGTCCCATCCGTCCCGTGTCCTCAGTCGCCCCACTTGATCATCACAAAGCGACACAACGCGCAGACGAAGTCCTTCGGATCGACCTGGCGGACGAGACGACGAGACGACGAGACGACCGCGGATCGTGGTACGGACGGTCCTTTGCTTCCGGCTTGCGTCACACCCTCAAGATAACAGAGCAGGATGAGATTCAGATCTCAATCTCAACACCGGACAAAATAATATCAAAAAAAACAACAGATTCTCATGTTCAACCCAGGGAATTCGATCTGTGGAAAATCCAACCCTTTGGACTGCCTGAGCGGCCAGAACGGTGCATGTTCCACTTCAAAGGTTACTTTCTGGCTTTCTGAAACTCTTGATCCACAAACTCAAAATCTCCGGCCCCTTCCAGCTGCTCTGGCATAGTCCGACGTTGCCTCAAAAATCAATCTGAATTCCATGTCGTCCGCGTTTTGGAGGTGAACTTGCTTGAAGGCTCGAAAGCTCCATGTCGTCCGATTCCCTCTCTCTTGTTGTTGAGCCAGTTCTCTAAGGGAATGCGATTTAGAGCAGCGCGCTTGGTTCAGAGCCGATGCTGTTGCCCCGCCGAAACATTATAGATACATGCTGTGAAGGAAAAGGCGCCAAACACATCCGAACTATATGAACGCATGGAACTGGACCTCGAGCTTGAGGTCAATGCAACAGACCATGTTGGCCTTTTGCTTGTGGCAACAATACTCAGCTCATCGCCCAAAGCTGTCCAGAACAACTGAAGGCCGACCCCCGGCCTGCAGCACTCTCCAAAAAGACAAGCCTTCCCTGTTTGTTTCGTCCTAACCAAATCTGTTCTAGAACATGTGCAGCTGTTTTGGCATGACCAACAGCTATAAATAAATTACAACAATGAATAAATAAACAAATAAATAAACAAATCCTCAAGAATATCAAGCTCTGTAGTTCTACTGTTGATGGAAGAAATAGGGTGCAACACCTCGAACCACCAATGTATGTAAATGTTGTGGTTTTCTCTGCTCTGGATGATGTGGGATTTCTTCCTCCAATCGTAGTATGGACAGTTCTCGCTTCGGGCGCCTTCCAAAGAGGCTGGAGGAGCAGCTCAGCTTTGGTTGGCTCAACTTGGGCCTCAGAACGGTCAAGTTCCACCAAGGTGATGCTACACTCAGCTAGAAGTGAGGCCGTGACCGAAAATGTCCAAAACGACTGATTGACCTCCTGGTCGGCCCCTCCTAGATCCTCCTATAACTCATTAAAAGAGCCTTGTCAGCTCGGCTGCTTTTGCCAAAGCACCAGACCTTGTCACCTTGCCCTCAACCAGCTCCAGTTTGCATCTGAATGTCAGCATGAGGGCTCAGACCAGCACGGCTGAGGCTCAGGCGGTGGCTTTGGGGGAAGCCTCCCAGGTCCCAGGAAAAAGTCGGATGGCCACCATCTGACCACATCCCCATGGCTATGGACGGCAAGAGCGTTCTTTTTAGGACGGCCTTTAGCAGATATGGAAGACTGTGCACACAAACAGCATGATGCGATGCACATCATGACACAGGAAAGCATTGCAAGGGCATTACTACTAGTAGCATGAAGCTACTAGGAACAAGGGCATCGCTACTAGGAACAAGTGCATTTCCACTAGTATCCAACTTGCTACAATTAACAGTAGCGATGCCCTTGTTCCTAGAAGTTACTTTAGCTACACTTCATGGCACTTCGCTTCCCTTGGCCTGCGGGTCCTTCGCGCCCAGCGCAGGATACCCAGACTTTGGGCTGCCGTCTGCCACTCGTCCTCTCACAGTGGACGTTGTCAGACTGGAAAGCTACTTCTTTCGGTGTTGCTTACTGCATCTGGAGATTTTGCCCCGTAGTATTGACACGGTCCAATGAAGGCGAGGAAGGTTAGCCTGCTTCATATTGCAATGACGTTCTGTACACTATATAAGTCTCGCATCCACGGGAAGCCAAGTGAGACTTTCTGCAGTACATGTCCATCAAATACCGCAAGCAAAACCCCCAGAACGACTGGCAAGCCAAAGCACAAGTCACAACGAAAAAAATAAGTAAAAACACAGATATGTCCAAGCTAGAACTGGGACTTGTCACTGCCGCTGCCCACTTTATCATGGACACAAGGTCGAATGGCAGCTGCGACCAGAGAAATCAAAAGCATGCTTTGTGGTAAGCCAATCTGCAGGCAACTGGCCCTTGTGATAGCTTGTAAACTGTCTGCCGGAACAAGTTGGGTTCCACTTACACCTTCTTTCGAATTCATCCGGTTTGCCACTCAAGCTGCACAAACCTCTCTCTACTCTTCGCTTTGCGGGAAGAAAGTGACGCAGGGAAGCGATTTGGCCAAGGATGCCAAAAACCGCCGTAGAAAGCCTTACAAATCCTTACAGAAAGCCTTGCCAAGGCCTTACCTGCATGGCGGCCAAGTCACGTGGACCTTTCTGACCCAGTTGCCAAAAAAGTGGTCACTTTGTTCGGCGAGCGGAATTGACTCCAAAAAGATTCAACGTTGGGAAGGAACTGATTGCTTCGAACAACTGTTGGTTCTCTGTCCGTGTGACTCTTATTAGGAACAAGAAGCTACTAGGGGCTCCTGGCATCGCTACTAGGAGCAAGGACGCCAACACTTCAGAGTCTATTTGTCTTGAGCTCTCAGGAGCGATGTCGCTATGTCGCTTCTGGTCTCG